TAATATACTTCTAACTTATATATATGTTTTTTTTAGTCCTCTAATACTTTATAAGGATTTTATTAGCCTTATAAAGAGTGATTTAAGGCATATTTTACTTTTTTGTAATATTTTAAATTAATATTTCTTAGCTTATATAAATAACTTTAACCCTTAAAAGTATTCTATCATATTAAGAATAACGTTTATTATGTAATTATAATTTAATTTTAGCTAATAATTAAAAGACTATTATTTTAAAAAAAAGTGCGCCAGACGCTTGTATACGCCAGACGCTTATAAACCACGTTATAAAAAATAATTAATTTTTTTATGTTATAATTACATAAAATTATTACAAAGTTGTAAGATAGAAGAAAAGTGCGCGGGACGATTATATACGCGGGACAATTATAAACCACGTTATATATATATATAAAAAGTATATCTTAAGCTTAGAATAATATTATATAAAGTTATATAGCTATTACTTACTAATAAGCTTTATATAATATATCTTGTAAAAAAGGTTAGCTAAATCTTATACATTATTAATCTAGGGCAGGAATCCTTACAAATCCAGATTAAAGATATATTATATAAGGGTCTCTTCTTTAGTCAGGGTCAAATTATGTTAAGCTTTATGTGCTTTAGCATTCAGGGTACAGCCCTTTATTTAATTACAGAGGGTGATTTAAAGGACATTATACATCTTTGTAGCACATTAGATTAATATTTCCTGGTTTGTACAGATAGCCTGAATAACAAGGAGGATTCTGGCTTCTTGAGATTAGGACTTTATTATATTATTATGTTGTGATTATGTATGATAGTCAGAAGGTCGTAAAGTAGAAGAAAAGTAGGCGGGTTGCTTGTATAAGCGGGCTGCTTGTAAACCACATTATATAAAAATAATAATAAATTTTTTATTTTATATAGTTAAAACTATAATAGATAAAGCATTTCCTCTGCTATAGCACAGGAAATACACGTGACCAGCCACGCACTCGGATAGCAGCGCTAATGGCGTATCCATAATGGCACGCAGAACTCTTGCCGCCAAGCTACTATGCCGCCGATAGAGGCATCTGTACAGCACGTGGCTCCCTGAGCAGGAACCATGGAACAGCAGATTGATACGACCCCTTTAGGGAAGTACAATCTCCTCCAGAGGGAAGCTACCGCTTCTGGCCCTGCAGATACTCTGTCGGATCCTCTGCGCAGGTTAACTAGTAGTGCCCCTGACGCTTGATGGAGGAGTATATAGATCAGAGCGCTGGCCGCGCTGTAGATAGACTCCTCAGCTTACGTTTTAGCAATCTATGGACTATTAACTTGTTCTAGTTTCGAGCTATTGCAAAACTTAAAACTGAGTTCTTTTTTTATATTAATATAAGTTTTTTAATTAATTAATAATCTAAATAGTAAAGATACTATTCTAATTTAGATTCTTTTTTGAAATTATGCTTAGTGAAAAGTCTTAAGAATTTTGGCCCCTAGCTCTGGTCTCAAATATAGGCGTAAATTACTACAGTAAGAGGCATAATGTTTGTTAATATAGTGCCATTAATGACTAGTTCTGATACAAGTCTACAGATAGCTAATTGTGTCACGGAGTTGACATGGAGGCCTCCTGGGGCCTAGATGGAGTCGTGGTCCGACTCTCTCTAGGCATCTGGATAAGGATTAATATACTATTCCAACTGCATTCAAGTAACTTTGGTTACTTGGGCGTAACTCTTTTGTGAAGTTGGATCACTATCTCAAATTGGTTGTCGAAAAGCTTACGAGATTAAGCAGCCATACAAACAAGACCACCAAGTCTGATTAATCCATCTTTAGATTAGTGCTGCTTAGCCTCCCTTCTTTGATAATTGTTTTGGTCTAAAGATACTAGTGCGGGGGTGACAAACATTATGCCTCCGTAACAAAAGCAAGCGAAAGAGAGGGAATTACTGATTTTCTAGATAGCTAGCTGAAATCCTGCCTTGCCCGTGGTGGCATGGCTTTACATATCTTACAGTTGCGAAGAAGGGGGTGGCAAGGGTTTTGAAAAAGTAGCAGCTGCTTCGTGCCTGGCAGAGAAGGGCAGTGACTCTGCGATCTTGGCCAGCCCTTGCTCAAGGAACCACGACCTATGATACGACAGCGTTTGCGGAATTTCATGTATGCCTAAGCGGATCCGGGTAGCCCCACGCGGTTAATTGTCGTGAATTATCCCGTTGCGCTGTGCTTGACGGAGAGAAGTATGACAAGACATTTGTATTTATCCAGCAGGTATATATATCTTAGGAGTGGTAACCCAGGAATCTTGGTAGATAGACGATGTGGAGAGCCATAGACCACCAACGCCGCGCTCAAAACTAGCCTTGTTGAACTTCAGCCCATGTGCGAGAGAGCATGAGAATATCAAACGCCAAAAACCTTTAAGAAGCCCCATAAGCCCAAGCTGCTCAGGACAGGAATAGTGAGGTTGTCATCCCAACCAAGGATGTCAACAAATTCACTGAACGAAGCCACTAAGCCTGTCCACAAACTCATCAGGCCGAGTGCCGCAGCTCCCCCAATTGTGGCATCTGCCGGTTTCCAACCAAGATATTGTGTTAATTGATGCGGCAGACCGAGTTCTCCTGTAAACAGGAAAGCACCTGGTGGATCGTCTGGGAATGTGCCCGTCCTTGGTGCAAGCCAGCCCCAGAACAGAATCGCAGTCAACAGCCCTGTCAGGAACGCGGCCAGTGTGCCGGCAAGTGACTTGCCGCTTCTCAATCGAATCGTGTATCTCCCGTATAGTCTTCCAAACGTAGAAGCGGCTGTATCGCACCAGCTCAACAACAGGACTCCCATCACTCCAATGTCCTTTGGAAAGAACCTTAAAGCAATATATGCACCGAGAAGATACCATATCACGCCGTTCCAGCCATCGACTTCGGTTTCGCGCATCAGCGCGCCCAGACATTTTATATACACCCGATTAACACTCTGAAAGCGATGACGGAGATAATCAGTCGCAGCGCATGGAATCAATGCGCTGAGGAGCCAGGGTGTAATAGCAGAGGTCTGTAGACCATTTGTGTAGAACGCCAACGTCATGAAGCCAATGCTGACGTGGAGGGCTTTACGTGGTATTTCATGCTTATGAATGAGGTAACGATAATGCCGATGGAGAGGTATGAGGCCCAGTGGTGAGGGCGAGCGCGAGAATTCTCGCCATCGGTTTTGCAATGTTGAATATGAATATGGGGCAAGATGACCATTAGGCCCAGCTGGCGAAACAGGATGGCCATTTGTGATAGATTCCGATTTGACTGCAGCCTTCTTCCCGGTTTTGACTGGTGTGAGGCCGGACGTTCGGCGCTTTCTGCTATGAGCTGGGCCAATGGACGCCAGCCCTGGGGAACGGGATCGTGTCCGCGCTCGTTTGTCGAGCGAGGAATCCGAGCTTGAGCTAGAGCCATCGCCATCTTTCTCTTCGGTTATTGGCTCGGGGGATTTATGGTGCTGATGTTTTGCGGCTGATCTCGTTGTGGGTGCGAAGTAGGTGTCTCTGCCTGCTTCGGAAGCTTCGGATGGAGTGGGCGAAGGAGAGATGACCCTGGGTGTCGAGGGTATTGGGTACGAAAAGGACATGACGACTGACCGAGCGCAAAAGAGAGAAAAGGAGGAGTCGAGTGGTAAGGGAGGAATTGTGTGGTTAGGAAGAGCGATGATGAATTGGAGGAGTACGGAGGGTGGGTCGGCCTATGCCAGGATGCGTTCCTGTAGCGGCGACAGCCTAAACTGGACAGATGTCACATTCGAGACCATATCGTGTAGGTGAAGCGAGGAAGACTTCTGTTCAACCGGTAGGGTTTTTCTATGAGGGAAGGTGGATGAGAATATACTTGTGGTCACGAGGGTGAAACCCGGACATGACACGATTCCCAGAATTTCTTGCGATTTCTTATTACGTTGGAACCCTGGAGGTGACATAATCAAGGCTTCGGGCGCCGATTCACCGCCGGTCACGTGCAAGATCTGCCAAGAGAATGGCATCAGGTCAGATCTGAATCTGAATCTGAATCCGAGCTGGATTGAGTACATGAGAATCGCCAGACTCCTGACCAACCACCAGAAGATGGCACCAGACAGGGGAGACGCAAGACCGACGGCGACTTCGTCAAGAGCATGGAATGCACTCACTCCTTCTCTGTCGGACTGGATTCTCGACGCCACTACAAGCATGGGATTCACCAAGATGACCCCAGTACAAGCATCAGCTATCCCTCTTTTCATGACCCATAAGGATGTGGTAGTTGAAGCTGTCACGGGAAGTGGTAAAACACTGGCGTTCCTCATCCCAGTCGTCGAAAAACTCCTGCGACTGGAAGAACCCATCAAGAGACACCACGTTGGAGCAATCATCGTTTCTCCTACTCGCGAGCTGGCCAGTCAGATCTACAACGTCCTAATCTCGCTTCTCAGGTTTCACAGCCCTTCCGCTGCTCTTCTGGGACATTCAGAAGATTCGGAATCAGAGGATAGTGAGCCGAAAAGTCGGGCACAGAGCTCTTCTGCCCTGAAGGTAATCCCTCAGCTACTGCTTGGCGGCTCAACTACCTCAGCACAAGACCTGAGCTTGTTTCTTAAAAATTCACCAAATCTACTTATCTCCACACCTGGACGCCTGATTGAGATTCTGTCCTCTCCTTATGTTCACTGTCCGCAATCGTCATTCGAAGTATTAGTTCTTGACGAAGCAGACAGACTGCTAGATCTAGGCTTCAAGGACGATCTTCGAAAGATATTGACACGTCTACCCAAGCAACGGCGGACCGGACTTTTCAGTGCAAGCGTCAGCGAAGCCGTCGATCAAATAATTCGCGTTGGTCTTCGCAATCCGGTTAGAATTGCGGTCAAAGTCAAGGGTGCTAATGGAGCTTTGGACAAACGCACACCAGCCAGCCTACTAATGAGATATCTTATTACCAGCCCCAGTAATAAATTCTTAGCGCTGAAGAGTGTTCTTCTTCGCATGACTCCTTCTCCATCGAAAGTAATCGTCTATCTTTCTACATGTGCAGCTGTGGATTATTGGCAACACCTTCTCCCCTCCACAGTGCTACCAGATGGCATGGTACTGGTGCCATTACATGGAAAGCATCCTGCAAATGTCCGAGAGAAGAATTTTATCCGTTTCGCCAATGCGGCGTGTCCAGCTTTACTCCTTACCACCGATGTTGCTGCAAGGGGCCTTGACATTCCCCAGGTCGACCTGGTCGTTCAGATAGATCCGCCATTAGACCCTAAAGTATTCCTACATCGCTGTGGTCGTGCTGGGCGAGCTGGTCGGAAAGGACTGAGTGTGATATTCCTTCAACCTGGAAGGGAGGAAGACTATATCTCGTTTCTCGAGGTTCGCAAGACTCCTGTAGAGAAACTGACCCAACCTGATACCAGCATGCAGCCGGAAGAATCCGCACAAATGGCTTCCTCGTTGCGCAAGCTGGTCTTGAAGGATAGGGCACTTCATGACAAAGCCCAGAAGGCCTTCGTGAGTTGGGTACGCAGCTACAGCAAGCACCAAGCGTCCTCCATCTTTCAGGTGTCAGATCTTGATTGGGGGAATTTGGCACAGGGCTGGGGACTGCTCAAGCTACCTAAAATGCCTGAATTGAAAGGGTGGGATCGAAAGAACTACCAGGCTGTGGAGGTGGATTGGGACAACTACTCTTACAAAGACAAGAAACGAGAACAACACCGTAAAGAAGCATTGCTACAGGAAAGGTTAGGCGACCCACAACTCAAGGCAGCCGGAAAGCGCTTGAAGCGCAGTAGCAGTACTGCATGGTCACAGAATATGGAACACAAAGCCGACAGAGAAGCACGTCGAGCCAAGAGGCAAGCCCGCCGTGAGCAGGGGCGATTCGAGAAATTGAGTCAAGAAGAAAAGAGTCAGATTGCCGAAACCGAACAAATGATCGCCAAGGTCAAAAGGCAGACCGCAGCGAAAGCGTCTATGGATGATACCTTCGAAGGGTTCGACTGAATGGTGATATCAGTTCTTCAAAATATTCTCAAACTCACCCAGAGTATGGTCCACCAACTTTGGCCCTACTCCCTTCTCCCTCAGCTCTTTTATAACATTCGGTGCCTCCCTGGTACTCGAATCTGCCAGCACGAGGTACATTCCACTTCCCCTCGTCCCATCACTCCCCACGGCAATCCCCTCTCCACCACCCTGCACTGCCCTAAACCTTCCGTTTGTCGCCGCAAAGAGCACTCTCTCCCCCGACTCTTCAACAGTATACCCAAAAATCCTCATAACCGGCACAAGGGCCCGGAAGAACAACCTCATCCACCATCCAATGTGCTCCGGTTTATCCACAAGCCCCGTATCCGGCACGGTCCCGGGATGAAGATGCATGAGCACGATCTTAGGGTTCCGCTTCCTCATCTCCTCGAGGAAAAGCGTCGTCATGCTTACTGCAGCCCCGCCAGCCTTCATAAGCGAGTAGTGCCATTTTTCCTTGAGTGCGAAGTCGTCCGGCCAGAGCTGGCCCTCCATGCCCGCGGCCAGCACGGAGAGCACGCGTGGTGACGGCGCCGCGTTGAGGAGTGGGAGCAGGTGAACCAGGAAGAGCATCCGTGCGTAGTAGCTGATACAGGTCGCCTCGTCCAGGCCTTCGGCAGATTCAATCCGCGAAGCAAATGTTATGTAACCCGCAGACATGATCAACATGTCCAAATGGTCATCGCCATGCGATCGAATGCTCTCGCTGGCTTTATCGACATTCGACAATAGAGTCAGATCGCCTCCCTCGATGGGGATGTATGTTCCAGCGGGGTTGATATCCTCGAGCTGGCTGATGAGTGGAGTCAGAGAAGCGTGCGTGCGGCTCACGATATAGATCCTGGGGCTGATGGTGTGTCTTGCGAGGGCGAGGAGGGCCGCCTTGCCGATCCCGTTGGTGGCGCCAACGAAGACGGCGGTGGGCGATGCGCCGGTGGATTTTAGGGAGGTGTTGGAATTGAGGATGTCGGTATAGGGGACCATGCTGACTGTGGATCAGAATGGTTTCCAGAGGGTCAGTGAGGGTTGCCCTTTTCTGTGCTTCTCTGGGGGTTGTTGTGTCCGCAATGAAGATGATAGATTTGTGGTGGTTGGATGGATGCCTCCTTCATGTTTTATAGACAATATGAGAAAGACAGTTGCCTGATTTTACCAATTCGTCTCTCGTGTTGTATTGTATCTGCATTCAAGTCCGCTTTTCCGCCAAAAGAAATGGATTGGACGATCTGTCAGCATCAAGTTGCGCCTGGCTGACTTCAGGTTGACCATGCATAGTCCATCTGCTGCTGTGCCGCTGAGGCCGCGTGGGCCAAGAAATCCTCACCATCTATTCCTACAACTAATTTGTGAACGAGCTCCACGTTTCTGGCGGATTCTGTTACTGGTCAATCAACTCTTCGTGTACTGTGGGATCCTACACACCATTGCTGCCTGCTGCCTGCATACTTGCGCCTCGTCTTCCTCCTCCTTTGGACTATATCGAACGCGTTGGTTGGTCTGAGATTCCGGCCGAACGATGTTGAGATTATTGCCCGGAGATCTCGTACTAAAAGCCAAGGGCTACGTGTTGTACTTTTTGTTTGCTTCTATCGGGATGTGCAACTCAGGTTGCAAAGTTATGGAAAAGGTAGGAGACGTGGACTTTGACTCTCACAAGGTTTTTGGGGGCAGATGTGAGCGGTCGTGTGCGTTGGCAGTCTTGGAGAAACAATAACCATGTCAATAGTGGGGTGATAAACATTTGACGATACATACACCAAAGACTGCACCTGCTGCGGAATTCGAGCATATTTCGATCCGGGTACTTTATTATGGGACATGGCTGATAATTGATTCAGGAGTTTAGAGGTACTTCGGCTGCTTAGAAGACGGCGACACCTCCCTATTTGTTGCCTAGCTTGCCCCCAGGATTACTGGACCGGACAATTTGTATTTGTGCAGTCATGATTATGGGGCCGGAGGGCCAGCTTGGCCAGCCTTTGCCAGCCTTGCCAGCCTTGCCAGCGTGAGAGATAAAGAATATTCAGGTTCGCTGCAAGCAAGCCGCACCGCTTCCAGCAGTATGCCGCTGTGTGAGTGCTGCTGTCAGTGGGACTCGAAGCGACTGTTCGAGATCGCCACACACAGTGATCCGTCCTTGGTGAAATACTTCATGCATCAACCTTCCTGGAGTTCCCTCGCAAGATCTGCACAAGGCCAGTGCGACATGTGTCGGGTGATTCACGATGCGTTCAAGGAATACACTAATCTCCTTGATTGGAGAATGATACAGGCGCCAGCACGGTGTACCGATATCCGAATTCAGCTTGGTTCTGCGCAAGGCTTCTCAGGGACGGGGAAGATCATATATGATCGCATAAAGATCGAGATAGGAGACAGTTCATCCAGTCCTTATCCATCGGATGAACTTGGGCTGGAAATTAGAACACCTCGCCGTTAGTGATGCCTTCAGACATACTCTTTTTTTCTCATTTGGGTGCATAGACTGCTCGCCGTCCCTGGAGCAGGCCCTCGTTGGCAGATACATACTGGATTACAATCTTGGATCAAAGTCAAACTTCTCAATTGCGAAAAGCTGGTTCGACGATTGCCTTAAGACCCACAATTTTGAGGTTTGCCGCTAGAACTATGAAGCTGATTTACCTAGAACGCTTGTCGACGTCGGCTCTCCATTTGATGTCAGACAGATAGCTGGTTAGCGGCCAATTGTGGCCGCGGTCCTTTTGGTTCAACAGATGCTCATGAACCACGACTAATCACAGCTAGCGGCAAAAAGGGGCTTATTGTGCTCTCAGCCATTGCTGGGGAAATTCTTTCCCTCTGACGACTACTACGCAGAATATTGACCAGCATCTTAAAGGCATCCCTCTATCTACCCTACCACCAGCGTTCAGAGATGCTATTGTTGTGACAAGAGAGCTCGGGTGCCAGTATCTCTGGGTTGACTCACAGTGCATTCTTCAAGACTCAAAAGATGAATGGGAGATCAATGCCGCGGACGTGGGCAACGTCTATCAAAATGCTGTGCTGATTATTGCGGCAAGTGGTGCTGAGATTTGCAATGCAGGGATCTTCAGTGAACAGAACAAGGCATTGACATATAATGAAGTCCGATTGCCTTGGGCACCCTTCTCAGGTGAGTACGCAGTGTTATCGTGGTGTAAAAAACCAAGAGAACCTTGACACGTGTCTTGCCGATCTTCCTCTTGCAAAACGTGCATGGGATTTACAAGAAAAGAGCCTATCCCATCGCATGCTATATGACGGCACTCGTCAATTGTACTAGACTTGTCGATCACTTGATATCGCCGCCGATGGCGAAGACTCTTCTGCATCCCATACCTTAGGATGTGTAGGTTTCTGCTGGTCCCAGACACGGAAGCGAGCGGTTTACGAGCAATGGTACAGCATAGTGCGAGAGTATGCTCTCTTAGAAATCTTACTCGATCATCTGACAAGCTGCCTGCAATCGCTGGCCTAGCTTCTCAAATACAGTCTGGAACTGGGGCAAGCTAGGGCGCAAGCCTGTGGTGGGAGGACATACATTTGGGATTGTTGTGGCGCGTGGCGTCCACTTCTTTGAACCCTCTATCAATCTATCCTTCCAGAGCTCCTTCATGGTCTGGGGCTCGCTTTGATTCTTTGCTGGATTTCCCTGTCTCTAGTCAACGCTCTTCACCGCAGGAAGGTGCACTCCTGGTCGGATATTCTGTCACCCCAACAGGGCGAAATTTCCTAGGAGAAGTCCACTCAGGAGTGATAAGCATTAAAAGACACGCTCGAAGGGTCTGGAGTAGCCATAAGATCTTTTATAGTCCTGATCTACAAGAAAGGTACGGACACGCGGCTTTGGGCAACTGAGCAATCGGTAGAGCTTCGCAAGCTTTAGGCTCCTGAAGGCTTCGTGAGCTTTGACCCAATCACAGGACAATCTCTGGTGTCATTTTGTACTCGAGCGATACCGAGGATATGGGCAACAAGCACCCGGACATCGACTCCGGGAGGTCGTCGATTGCGCTGTCCCATATGCTAGGCAGGACCAAGCTCGGGGCACACGCTGCTATTCGTTACCACGCTTGATGAAATGGGAGATGAAGAGGAAGATCAAGAAATGAAGGATAACGTCGAACAAAGTATATACTGACAAGTCGCTGATGAGTCAAGACCCATGGCTGCCGACACTGAGCCAACCCTTAGAATTTCTCATCTTATTCGACGTGCAGGAGGGAGATGAATGTCGATATCTTCGCGTTGGTGTCATGAGTCTCAGACTAGGTTCTTAGATGATCAGAGATGGCTAGGAAAGGCTGGAATGTCAAAAACCTTCACGATCATGTGATGCTACCGGCACCATCTTAGCCGGACCACATACATATCACCAACAATGCTGGGAATGTTGTCATTGCTCAATTCGGCCATCCTCGTCATAGTCTACTATCCTCACGATCGCGGTTGTGACACAAGAATTCACGTCCTTTTTGGTTGTCTGTTTAACATTGGAATATGCTCCATCACTTATCAATACACTCTACTATGAAATCTTGCCGAGAAATTTGCCTGTCGCTGTGCATTCTAATACCAGACTGCCCAATCACACATGCTTGAACGGCTCTAACAAAAATCATTCCATATTTCCTTATGATAGCGTGATGATGCACCACCTGTGAAATTTTTAGTGGTGCTCCTAAAAGAAAGGTCATCAGATGCCAGTATGCTCACACACCAATCCTGACCTCTCCAAATTCCTTTTCCGCTTTGAGACCTGAGCACACGTGACTATCCCCTCCGTACCGGCTGGCTCAATTAGCATCTTTTGCAGATTTTAAGCTCAAATATCGTCCAACCAGTACTTAATATCTGTAGAGAATAAATAGATGGTTCTGTAATAGCTATGAAGCACTGATCACAGAAAGCCTCTATCTTGAAGCTGGAATCAAACGAGCTGCTTAGGCAGAAGTTGTGGCAACCTCAAAAAACGAAGATTGACGACGCTAATTGAGACATTCTACACCCCTGTACCGGTACGGAGGGATAACCTGAACGATGAATAAAACAGTCCTGGGCTGTGGCTGTGCAAAACTGTTCTGAGCCTGAGCAGCCCGGAGCATCAACTGAATTGGGCCACTCTCCCAGCTCGGAGAGCCCAGTTTCGTGCCCTTCAGGTTGTTGGGTTCCGATTTCCGGCCGCTGTCACTCGCGTACGCTTGCCCTCCAATCTGTCTCCGCCAAGATTGCCGCCTATGCTACTTTGTGGATCCTAGAAGCGTGGCTTAGTGTACACCCAGTCCAAGATCAATACTGATCCAGGAAGAGACAGAGGTAGAACGAACGTACATAGAACTAAATTGAACCATGACCACCATGCCAACTCACCCCGCCGTCGTCACCGTCGCTCCTCGTGCGGCTCTTGAGATTATGCAACTACCGACCATGGCGCCCGCAAACGCCGAAGTACGGGTGCGGGTGGAATGGACGGCTTCGACACCACTGGACTTGCATCAGGCGGATGGAGGTCTGTTGGTGCATCACCCCCAGGTCCTCGGCGACGGGGTAGCGGGGACTGTGGTGGAAGTTGGCGAGGGTGTTGAGAGGTTAGCCGTCGGTGATAAGGTGAGCCTAGTTGGGCCTCAGCTTTGTCGTGTTTGAAGCATTGAGTGGATAAACACTCCTGGACGCTTCCCACTGTACTCCTTTGCCTGCCTATCTGTTTTTCCCTAGTTCCTCCACCTTTTCGCCAGAGTTTGACGATTTCGAAATCGAGCAAGGTTTTTGGCTTCGTATGGCGTGCCCAGAAAGAAAAAGCCCATCAAGTCTACACGACGGCGCCAGAGAATCTCTTCGGCAAGATCCCCAAGGGCATCTCACCGGAAGCCGCCGTGACCCTCCCCAACAACTTTGTTACTGCATACCATACCATCGTCACCGACCTCCAACTCCCGCTTCCCTGGCCTCATCCAGACGATCATCAGCCAGAACACGCAAATACCCCTATCCTCATCTGGGGTGGCTCATCCTCCGTCGGCCAATACACCTTGCAAGTTCTCAAGTACTTCGGGTACGGCAATCTCCTGACCACGGCCTCGGAGAAGCACCATGATCTGCTCAAGTCCTTCGGCGCCACCCGCTGCTTCGACTACAGAAATTCGAATGTCCCGAAATTGATCCTAGACAGTATCCCGGACACCAAGGACGGAAAGGCGAAAGTGCCTTTCATCCTCGACTGCATCGGCTCAAAAGATGGTAGCGTAGCCCCCCTCGCCCAAATCGCTGAAAAAGGCACCAAAGTGGCCATCCTGCTTCCCATCATCATCCGCGATGCGACCGAGAACGGGCCGGCACCTGAATACACATTCGACGTGCAGGGCTCAGCGGACTGGGCGGACGGGGTTGAGGTGGTCGGGGTGAGGACACATTTCTACGCCGACAACAGCTTCCATGCCGAGCATCTGCAGCCGAGCATCATGCCGGCCATGCTGGGACAGGGGATCGTGAAGCCGAACAGGCACCGGATCATCGAGGGTGCGACGATGCTAGAGAGGGCGCAGAGGGCATTGGATGCATTGCGGAGGAAGGAGGTCAGTGGCGAGCGGTTGGTGTGGAGAGTGGCTGATTGAGCAGTGAAGAAATTATGGTGCAAGGCTGCATAGAGCTTGACTGCATGGAAAACTACTAACTTCAGCTTCTCATCTGCAGATATATCACAATACGTAGTTATTGTATCCCTACTTCGAGAACTGTAATAGGTGTTTTGAGGCTGGACACTATAGCTGACTGTTGAAGCTAAACGGCCAACTCAAATTTCCACCGCAGAAATTACATAGCTCATGTTTTCAAGCTTAGGACTGTGATAGTGTGGAATTTGGTATAGAAGTAGTTGGTAGTCAATAGCCGGATAGCTATTTGAATTTGTGACTTTTGGCCCGTAGATGGCGCAGTGGCCAAACCAACATCCATTGCTCTGTTTCAAGAATTCTGATACATGCCCAAGGAGGGTGAGCAGTCTGAGCAGCACTTGAATGGAGTCTGAGCACGAGGGTGAGCAGAGGGTGTTCCAGACTTGAGCTGTGGCGGTGTAGGGTGAGCGGCCGGTCAGGAAATGCATAGTTATGACCCAGCCAAAAGAGGGCATCAAACTTGGTCAAGTTTGTTGTGCTAATGCCGCGAGTGTAGTCCAAGGACTAATATGTCTCAGTATTTTGTCGAAATCTAGGACGGGTACTGGCATGGAAGAGACAATTAGATTTATCGTGCCACAGTGATTCTTTACAGGCCCAAGGTAAGCCGCTGTGTTGAAGCACTGTGATCGTGGTGTCGGATGTGCATCCATGCTTCCTATCTCAGACGGGTCTATCACTATCTGCACATTCAAACGCCTTTGACGCATCCAATCGCCTTGCACTTTCCTCGCTCCATACCCAAAGTGAGATCTGTCCAATCAGTCGCCCAAGCCGAGAAAATTCTATTGAGGGCCGCGGTTTGTGAAGAATTTACGTGAAGCGAAAGGTGAAAAGTCGGGTCTAAGATCTAGACCGCATCAATTTCTGGACTGAAGGAGACACACGGCTCCGTTTGGGGTCTCGGAGTTGGCCGTCTTGATTTCGATATTGCCCGTCACAATGTCTAAAGTATCTATAACACATTGACGCGCTCTTGATTAGTAGCTGGCCCTCATAAGAGACGGAGTATAGTATTCTCAAAAGCATTGAGAACAAGGGAAGTTCTGGTTGGAATACTTACATTACGACATCACTTCCATAGGGGAGCTGCTCATCAAATACGGCGTTGTTGAGGTCTGGAATACACGTTCCATCAGGCTGGATGTTGCCGACATGGGTGATCTGGTCAATGGGTGGCTTGCTGTGAGTTTCTATTATGCGTAGCAAATGGCTTTTAGTCAACCACCTCACTCTGAAAACAAAAGCAAATGGAACAAACAAAAGCCGGCAGAGAGTTACTCACGTCTTATATGCTCAAGGAGTCGCTTTCTGGCCGCTGTGGCATCTTTTGGCTTAGCATCGCGGTTGAGTTGCTCCCATTTTCCACATCTCGCAATTTCGTCCTTGGGAGGTGGGGAGACCTCCTGCGTTGGTAAAACAGTGCACCACTTATAGTGTATTAGTCGACACATGGGTGTAGCGATGTTGAGTTTGGGATTACCAGAGTGCAAAGGTTAATAAAAGCAAGGCAAGCGGGTTATTAAAGGGATAAAGATATTGAACATTGGGAAACGAACGTGGTCGGATCTGAAACATACTGTGCCTTATCAAAATCAGCTCTTTAATCTTTTTACTCCGATCGAATGGACAGCCGTGTGGATCTAGAAACAAGGCCTGACGCTGGGAGATATAGTAGCAAATGCATGGACAATCGACAGATTCGAAGCTGAAGGAGACACCAATTTGCTCATCGCCATCTGCGGGCCGAGAGGCATCTAAGCTGTAGAGCATGAACCACTAATTTGGACCGTTTCGCTCTGTGTTGGGGTGCATGATGTGGCAGCTGTAGGGAGATGAGGACTGGAGCGAAATATGGGTCGGACCTCCGCATAAACGGGAGATGTTTCATTCAATCTGGGTACGTGTTTCACAGGCCAAGTGACGATCAGGGGTGCGACGAACCATACTCATCCACTGCTCCTGTCACTGTATGTATGCGCACCTGTGATGCAGACTGTGACTACGATACCCGGAAACTTTGACACGTTCGATCGAACGTGCACATGTCCGATTCTGAGACCCAGCCTTGCTGTCCACACAGATAGGCAATGTTCTGTTACAAACGAAGCCGCAGTGAGACTCTCGAAATGTACAAGGGAGTCGCCTATCCCTCGTCAGGACTTGAAGAAACATTCTCTCCTTCCATTGAGATTTGCATGAAACATTATTGAACATAGAAGGTAAAGTGGAGGCCACGAAGCGTTGAAGAAGCTGGGCAGGCATAAGACACGATCAGTAATATGAATCCCAGTGTAGAGCTTTATTTGGCAGAAGGGGCGGAGTTGAAACGAAGGTATAAGGCTCTTCATTGTTAGATCGAGCAAGAAGCAGAAGCAGAAGCAGAATACTAAGACGAGAACCACAAGCTTGGCGTGATGCTTGGCACGATGCTTAACGATCATTGCTAGTACTAGTACTACTAACTAGTAGTAGTAGTAGTAGTAGTAGTAGTAGTAGTAGTAGTAGTAGTAGTAGTATTAGTAGTAGTAGTGGGGACCTCCTGTGCCAAGCTCATAGTTGGTATCTTTGTGGTTGCAAAACAATGGAGACTCCGGAACACATTCTTCAGCTTTAGCAAGTGCAGAAGAGGTAGCATGTGCTCTGGAGACCCTGCAACACAGCGGCCTCTAGGACCTATTATCACCTTGTCCCATTCTACTCGGTTACTTTGAATAGCTTCAACAAGTCCCTGAAGGCCGTCCTACTCTTCGATACGGAAACCCTAGTACGCTTACCAGGGGAAGGGCTCTGAAAATGACGCGGTAAGATCATATCATGATTAGGCTGAAACTAAACACACATTGATGGTAATTTAGACCTAGTTTTCAGAGGGTCGTCTCCTGCTAGGTATTGTGAAAAGATATCCAAGCTGATTGAAGCAAACCAAGCAGTCTCTCAAGGGCCACTAGGGGCAAATAGCAGAAACACTACAGCCAGACTAGCAAGATGCTTAACAAGCCGTATTCACCACATCCCCGACGATCGTTGCACCCCCAGGCTTGACAAAGAGCAATGAAACCGCAATCCAACTGTTGGACCAGCACATCGACGCCAGTGCTCAAGGCTCTCTTCGAGCCGCGTGAATGACCGAGCGAAGCCCATTAGATATCTGGGGCATATTTCCAGCACCACTGGACACTGTTGGTCAAAGTCTTCCAGTGGCAGTCTCGGCCACATTCCCTCCGCATCCTCAGGCATTCTTCCCACCTGTGTCACAGACGAAGAGGTTAGCGAACTGAAAGCTTGTTCTGCGACGGAAAGCTGCCAGATGGGACAGAATGTGTGTGGACTTACTCTCCAGGTTTTGGCCAGTAGTGTGTGCAGCTCTTCTTATGAGGCACAGGGCAGCAGTTGTGATGGCTGGGTGCATGGGTGTAGCAGCTGCTACGGAAGATGGCATTAAATGTCTTGCAGTTGGAGCGCCACTTCATCAATGCGATAATGGCTTTGCCCCTGCAGGTATTGGGATCAATCTTGGTGCTGCTGTCGGGGTTCTTGTCCTCGTAGAAGTTGACATTGACTGACCCATCCAGGGCGGACACATCCCAGGCCTCGGCAGACAGAGGAGCAGTCTCGTTGTATGCTGCTGGAATTGGAGGTAGTGCAACAGCCATGGACAAGAAGAATGGGAGAAGGACGACGAGTGATTTCATTGCGACCATGTTGACTTTTGCTCTGAATCTGTTGTTCTGTTGGCACTTTGTCTTTGTTGTGTTGTTATAACTGTTGTCCTGAAAAAGGATGAGAGCAGAGAAGATCGATGTCGGAAGATGAAGAAGAAGCTGATAATTTGAGATTACGGTGGAATGAGGACATATTTATGTCTATTCCATAAGCAGCTTGACGTCCTACTCCTCACTCTCAGCCATTTTCCAAGTGGGGCTTCACACGACGAGCGAGACATACTCTACAAAGATTATGATGGTGAGACCTCCACTTCTCATACGACCGATCCAGTAATTGGGTAACCCTTCATCAATTAGGCCATATCTCGAGCCAAGACGTGGAGCTCCACCTCTCGCACACGACAGTCGATGGACACAGATCATGACGCAAGAGTTGCGTGATACAAGATAAAGTGGGTTAAAAGCCTTACTAAAAGTCGGAAGCATCAGGGCTCCACTACAGGGCTCTTCTCCATACGAGAAAGACATCGCTTTCCTCCAAGACAACACCATATTTCATAGTCCTACTGGTATCCAGACCACCATCTGGCTGTCCTGCGAAGGGAACCACCAAGACTTTCTCAGTCCTAACATCGGTGCCAAATCGCCAGAGATCGCCATGTGGAGAACTCCAAGCTGTGCAAAACCGGGTGGGATTTTGGCAGAAGCATTCTCAATATAGTGGAGACACGAAGGCACCATGCGCTTTTTCCCGCAAATTCTTCGGGAACTACAACAAAACAAGCTTTCTTCGACAGTCATCATGTCCCACAATCGATGTCGATCGATTCCCACAGACAGCTCTAATAGAGCTAACAGGCAGCACGCCTCAACAGAAGATCCATTTTGTATACCCAATACAGGCAGCCTCACCGTGGCCGAAGCTAGAGTGGGCTGATGCTTTCCGCGCAGTCCATGACTGCTTCAATCACCGCAATATAAGATTTCTGCGAACCAGTACGAGACTTCTAAGTGGATTCTCGAAACAGAGTGGAGCTTAGCTGACCAGCTGTCTCCTCGGACGAAGGCCCGCCCTATTCCGCATATGGAAGACGTGGCTCTTCCTTGGCTTGAGTTGCCGTTGGAATGTGACATGCATGGGCTGAAGCTCCCTCAATCAGTTGCAGTGGCGAACTTCGGGCTATCATTGGCACAGATGCTTCACAAACCGTAAAGGAAGCTTCTGTTTGACAGCCACAAGACATGTTTAAGCTGAAACGATGGCCATAAACACCCCCATTTTGTTGCGCGACGGCTGCTTCCACCGGGACATGTGGGCTCAGAGCTAAAAGAAGAGAAACCTTCAGCCTAAAGCTAGAGGAGGAACCACTTTACTTGAAATACTTTCGATTTTCTCACCACAAGGTCAAGTAACTTGGCAATCTCCACAGATTCGTGGTTGTTCCATTATGGCAGCGTTCAAATTGAGTAGCTGTAGCCGCCTCGTCGAAGAAGTACATTTTGCCTTCTACCTCGAAAGACTACTCCGTACACTCCACCCTGTTTAGCTACGGCCAATGATAAACGTGTTCATCCTTCTCAAGCCGTCACACGGTGGAGACCAACCAACGTCATACATCAACATCGACCACACTAGCAATGGCGCACATATAACATGACTAACTGAATTGTGCAACACACCCCCTTCGTCAACAGTTTTACAGAGTAAGGCCGATGTCTTCATGTCCACCAAAATTTCCAAGCCACCAGTTTCAGCTGGTCGTCATTCTACAAATATCTATCGAAACTATCATAGAGATGGGTCGGATGACCAGAATCAAGCAATATGTGTTTACATCATGTTTGTTTGAGCTATTCTACTCAATTCTATCTCCCAACAGTGCCAGCAACATTCAAGCATGCTCTGACTGAGACCTCAAACGCCAAGCATTCATGTTGCAAAGGGGGGTGTGTTGCACAACTTGAAGCCAGTCAGCCGTGTTAGCCCCAACGCTTCTGAAATTAGCTATCCGGCGGCTGGCTTGGGATAACGAGCTGTCCGTAGACGCTACACTAGCACCGAACTTTCGAGCCCCCCACTGCTAGACCTGCAACCTAACTTAGAATCCAGATGCTAACTAACTACTTTCTTCATAAGCCTTTCTCATCTTGCTCCGGAAATTGTCCTCATCAAGCTTGTCTTCACAGTTCCGACATCCACCGGCCTCACGTCATCGCTTCCCCTACTGCCAAATGTCTCAAGTTCGCAGCGGCGCGGCGCGGAGTGGGAGCGGCGTACAGATCGGCTAAAAGCTAAGCAGTCCGAGGGAACTTTTCTGTTGAGAGGGGCAGGGGCTGCAGAAAAAGGATGCGAACATAAGGGAGCAAATGGCGAATGGGGTAGCTCACTTGGAGCAGGAAGAGAAGGTGGCAAAGGAACTGGGGAAGAAATAGGAGGAGAAGATGGCGAAGGAGCAGGTACAAGCGGTTGAATGACACCTTCATGGCCCCTCTATCGACGACGCCAGTAATACTATAACCGTCAAGAGCTGGCTGTAAGAGAGCGTGTACAATGAAGAATTAGAGGCCCAATTGGTGTCAAAGCGGGCGGAGGCGCTGGCAGGGCCAGAGGCAGAGGAGCAATGGCACAAGATCTCTGTATTCATTTCCCATTTGCGAGGCGATAATGAGGTTCTAGTAGATGATTTTCGTTGATGGAATCTGATAGGTAAATTTAATAGTACGAAATTTGTGCTGCCAGAAACCTACCAAGTCCTAATAGCCAGATGCACCGCTCCCCAACCCATCACAGTAACTCAGGCTTCAAAATACGGCAAATAGATCACTGAGCCAGTCAAGGCTTTCTGTCTCCAGTCTATTCTTCCACTCCTCTGCTTCACCGAAAGCGCCAGCCACGCAAGCATTTTCCTACCCTGACACCAGACGAGCACATCGTCTCCGTCAGAACATTCCTTAACCCGAACCAGCTGTTCCCAATTAACATCGCAGTATTGTATCTTTTCTGGCTGTCCACCATCGGAGCCTCTGCTCCCCTCCTCCCACTCGGAGTCAAAATACTGACGTCCTGGTCGTCGTCCATTTGCACATCCCGAAGCGATGAGAGACCGACGACTTCCTGTCGTTTCATTGGCGTCGTGAACGGGGACCCGTCGAAGCGGTTATGATAAACAGGAAAACCGCGGCTCTGACCTGAACTGCTCCTACCCTATCCCTCGCGGCCGCTCGCTGCCATGCCTCGCTAGACCCGAGGTGTGTGGGTTTCTCGTCTTTTCAGCGCCTCGTCTCTTTTTTTCGAACTTTTCTTTCCGCGCCTGATCTTCTTCGAATTTGCGCTTGACTGGCCATTCATTTAGGCTATACTCGTTTAGAGGTGTGGACATGATTGCTCGTCACTTTGATGAATGTATGTGTGAGTTTAAGGCGGTGATATTTGAACAGAAGTATGTGGGAAGTAGTATCTTTTTCATTCATGATCAGGGTCTGTTTAGGTTTTTGACTAAATTATACTTATCATGACACATTTGGGAAAATAGACGTATGCTTGGATCAACCGGGCGAGTGTTTGAGTCGGGCTCTCTACGCAATTCTTTTAAAACCAACCTGTCCCGTCCGGGTTGACTGCCTTTGGTACTTAGCTCGACTCGGCCGGTGTCGCAACCAAGCTGCAGCCTCATCCTCGATGGTTGTTGGATCCGGTAGTCGTCTCTTCGGTCAAGATCAGATGTAGAAGGTCTTAGATGCTTACCAACTTGTGGTTCGAACTGGGTGATGATGGGGCTCCCCGACTGTGTTTGGGTGAAAAATAGTTAACCAGCGCAAGGTCATTTCTGATCATCACGTGTGGAACCAACAGCTCATAGCTCATGAACCCAGAGGAGCGCGGCCACAACTGGCTGCTATTGAATCGACACCGTTGTTGCTTAATTGGGTAGAGGAAAGGAGTGAAATTACGTACAACCCGCTCAAAATGACTGTGGAATCACGCGTCCGTACTGACCAATCAAATGCAGTAGATCAAGCGTATAATGACCGAAATTAGGTTGCTATCAACTCCGAGTCACTTGCTCAGTCTCTGTTCAGCACTGCTTAGACGCACTCGGTCTCGGCTGAGTAACGGCTCAGGTTAAAGCAACACCCGCTCACAACCGTGGCCGTAACTGGAATTGGGGGGAGGAATCTTATGGCCGACTATGGGGGTAATATATTCCTCTCGATGCAGTACACGATATCTGTGACCATTTCAACCAAACTCACTAACTAGACATGGTCTTCCTGTTGTCAAACCACCGTACAATCTCTTTGAGTACATGAACCAGGCTTTTCCATCCTGCAGATACAGCTTTCCCAACAGTGATGAATGGACTTACAATGTACCCGCCGACGTGCGCGATGTAGTGTCCAAGCCTAACGAGCTCGGCTTCTGTGGTTGTTACGAGAGACGTGAAGACGCGGAAGACCCACATAATGCCAAGGAAAAGGCTGTAGCCAAGGGTGGCCAGGAGGACGACACATGCGCAGATGCAAAGAAGTGTCAGTAGAGCGCTAAGGATCGGCTCGTAATGTGTCTTCTTAGGTCTTCGATGAACATAGTAGTAGTCGTTTGCTACGCGACCCTGGTGCGTCTGATGTTGACCTGGCCATGCTGGAGGGAACTGAGCTTGGGAATTCTGCAATGTGTTTGTAACCGGAACTGGTAGCAGCGGTTCGTGCTCGTCGGCAGGCACTCTGTACCGCCCAGTGTTATCTTCAACATTGTATTCAGTGGCAGCTGCATATAAAAGGTTGTGAGTATGCTGCTTTGAAGATGGCCAAGGGGTGGTTGGAGGGGTTTTAGGCGTTGCGTATATCACAGGGTCGCGTGATTCTGTTCTGGGTGAAGGAGCGAGGCCACAAGCTGTTTTCACTGTCTCCAACGACTCCGGTGTCAAATGGTGACTGGATATTCCCTCCTCTAGATCGTCGTACCTCTTTAGCAGGGCTAACGAAATTCGGTAAGTGCGCCGCGTATTGATGTACGAAAGTTTTCTCAGCTGTTTGTTGTTCTCCAAGGAGAGCGGCTCAGTGGTATAAGATGGATGGCTCGGAGTTGGTTGAACGGGTAGGTAAAAATGCCAGTATTTTCGATCGATCCTCGACATTGTGATGTTCCTATCGCCACATGAGGTCATCTGTCAAAGGAGTAAGTCTTAGCACCGGGCAATTTGAAGCTTCGTACTGTGCATATTTTGACAACTTCAGGATCTTTCTTCAAAAGATCTACGACAACGACCGGGTGATTCAAAGCTTGTCTTTCTAGTCCTGCGGCTTCCAGGAGAATCATTTCATCCTCATCAAGTCTCTTGCGAAGCCAAAGTATGGATCCAGACCGTATGTTCTTCTTTTGCGGCGGGGTCTGCGGTTGCGAGTCATGTGCGCTGTGCGCCAGATTATTAGATACCATGAGGGCCTCGTGGTCGTGTGTGGAAAGATTGATCAGTGGTCGCAGAAATGCATGGCAGCTATCGTCTCAACTCACAGATCAAGGGAGCTTGCAAGGTATGGAGATGTTCTTGTATCTGGACCGGGCGAGGCTGTAATATAATCTTATGAGATTGGTGCCTGAGTTTGTGTTTGCTGCTGGGACACACGGCGACAGGGCCTGGGTATAGAGTGGCAGTGCACAAAGAAGGCAAAGGGTTAGACCCGGCTATGGCCTTTATGTTCAACCAGTCAGAACCCGTCCCATGGCGCCTTCGATTATGCAAAAACAAAGCACCGGCAGACCTTGCATGAAACGTTCTTGTGTCCCACTGTCTGACTCAGACAATTTGTTGGAAGAGCGGCTGACCTCATCGTCTGTAATGCAAGGTTCGACTTTCTGCTGAGTAACACTCTGGGCATTGAACTGAAGATAATCAAACCAGGCCTTGCGCGACCCTTTCGAACGAGACCACGATCGCATATCCGATAGCGCAAATCCAGAATGCTGCGAAAACAATACCACAGAGCATAGCCACGCAATAAAAAAGAAAGCTGCGAAAACGATCGGAGTGACTCTGGGACGGTACTGGCGCATCTTCGTCCTGCTCGAGAATCGAGTATCTGGCACTTGCAAGACTTGGGCTGATCGATTGAGCATATTGGGCAAGTGCTCTGTCGATTAGAGATCCCCGTTCCACATCGTAGAAGTTATACTCTGGTGGGTCATCTGCTGGCTGATCGACATGATAGAGGAAACAAGGTGGTAATTGCCGATCACTATATGGATAAGGCGGTGGAGAGCAGTCTGGCTCGTCCCGGTACACCAGAGACTGTGCTGAGCCGCGCATTGTGGCGGGGGCCGAGGTGGCCGTGTGGGCCATTGTGCAATCCGTTGTAAGCTCCGAGTCGTTCTCTAAAGTCAATTTTGGAGTAAGAATCACAATAAACAGTGTTTTCGGGGGGGAAAGCGACAGCAACAATGGCAGGTAGGTGAAAGTATAGAAATAACTGAACTACTGGTAGGTGTTTGGGATGCCTTAGATAGGGCGTGGTAGGAGGAATATATCGAAGTATCAAAAGCGCCTTCAGAAACGTGGAGTGCTTCTGAGTGGCCGCATGCAGGCAAGGAAGGCGGAGCTCGTTGGTTTCGAGCTGCTGCAGCTGCCCCCAATGCTGAGCCTTGGGGGCGGGGGATGTGATCCGTCCACACACGGACGGACTTGTCCATCATTCTTTTGGTATCATGCAATAGGTATCTTCGAGGACTGAGATAGTACTGTAAGGGAGTTACCAGCCATGGTTGTGCCAAGATTAAGCCAGCGAGTATCTGTACAACTTGAAGCACAGGATCGTCATGAGACTGAGTTGGAACTGCAATGGGTTCGGGCAGTTGACTCAGCCTCCCACTTGGAGTTGAGGTTTCAGGGGAAGCACAGGCCACGTGGTAAGCCATCCTACCCCAAGGAGAATACATCAATTGTTTAGAGGCTACTGTGCGGCTAGGACATGGTTACCTGTTATTTAGCTGCCGTGGAATATGGAGGAGCAGTTATATTTATCACAGCTTGCAGGAAGACCTTACGTAGTACGTAGTACTTCCAGAACTTACTACGCACTACCTAGTCCGTACCTAGTCCGTACTGATATGGCTCTATTACCAAATTGCTTGCATGCAGTCGCTTCAACAAGTCTCAACAGAGGTCGAGAAGCTTTCTCATGATGAACCCTTTGGGTGTCGAATACCCAGCCCGTCAACTTGTTGAAGGCTACCTATATGGTGCCGACAGTGTTGATACCCATCCCTGGCATCTCTACTTGGCTTCGTCACTCAATCAGCCTTCTTCATGCTCTTGGCCAAATTCCAGAAGCTTTCCATCTTTGCCCTGCCCAGAATGTCCTTGGCTTGTGCATCTGATTCGCATACCCTAGCCCCGAGCCACTTTCGGAAACCTTGTTGCTTCTCTTCTCCCTCGAAGACCAATTGACACGAATTCAAGCTCAGGTCTTTTAATTCACCTTTCTCGTCCTCCGCCTCTAGCCATTTCGCGAGCGCCTCTTTGTTGCCCTCTCGTACACTGCTGGGGCCGGCATTTTCAGTCCAATCAATCCGGTGCATCATTAGCTTCTTGTAGGATCTGATAGAATGTGCCCCTCCTTCTACAACAACCAAATTCATCTTCGGATGCATGATGCATACGCCAGTCAAAGCATTTTGCTCGGCGTTGACCGCAATCTTGTAGCGATGGCGACCATTTGCGAGACTGTCAATCCGATAGACGTTGGTGAAGATCCCCTTAGCCGCATCCTCCTGCTGCTTGGTAGCTAGCTTCTCGTGCCGTTGCTCGTCAGTCAGTTTGCGTTCTTCATTAGTCATGTCATGCTTGGCCTTTCTTTCTGCAATCTCGCGATTGACACGAGCTTCCACAGCTGTTGGATCCTTTACAGCTTCTTCACCCAAGACCAGCATCATATTGCTCCTTTTGACTTTTGGCGGAGGAGCGGGCTCCAAACCAAGCCGAATCTTGGCCTGCTGCTCTTTCAGATCGGCCATACGCCGCTGGCGCCGAAGCTTCGCCTGCTCTTTCGAAGTGAGGAACATGGGTTTTGGAGCAGGCACGATCTTCTCTTGTGGTGGCTCGAGCAGTACAGGATGCTGGATATAGATGGTAATGATAGAATCGTCTGTATCAATCTTGATGTTTGCTGGATCTGCCATGGCATCGTAAGAGTCGCCACTCACAAGCCCCTCGTCCCACCACTCCAAAGCAGGCGGTGCCGAAACTATAAATGCTTTTTCCGCATCAAGCTCTTCTTCGATACCAGCTTTGCGGGCTCGCTCCGCTATCCCTTTCTTCATTGCCTCAAGCTGGGCTTGTCGCTTAAGTGCTAGAGCTTGTTGGATGTATTTCCCCTTTTGATTGAAGACCAACTGTCGTGAATGTCGCCCTTTTGGAATGGCATTTTTGGAACTTAGGCTGGCGTCATAGTAGGGGTTGGATTTGATCTCCTCTAGAGAAGGAGCCGAAAGGTCAAGTCGGGCTTTCTTGGCCGCTGGTGCTGGCGATCCCGTCCGTTGACTGCCGACTGTGGTAGCAAGCTTCTGTGGAAGACTTTGTCCTTTGCCTGATCTCGGGCCTTGCGACGAAGACTCTCCCATTAATGCTGGATGTAGACCAACGTCTAAACCACCTCGAGCTCGCACCATTCCATCATCAAAGGCTGTTGGAGTGTAACTTTGCGTTGCGGTGCCAGGGTTTTGCTGTGCCATGGCGCTTGCTCTACCCGTTGCGGCCGCGACCCTGGCCCTCATCTGAGCCAGTCTATCTTGTGCACTCCCAGCGGCTGGAGTCGTAGCACTTGTCCCGGGGGCCACTGAGGCAGATGCCCCACCTCTTGCCCCCTGAAGTCTGGCTTTTGCAGCCTCTGCCTTTGCCCTTGCTTCGGCGAGGATCCTGCTGACATCTGGTCGTGATGAGGCTGAAGCGCCATTGGTGACTGGGTGCGGTGAGCCATCGTTGGAGCGCAATTTCTTTTGGGAGTTGAGGTCTCCGTCTTCGGGATGGGGTCTTTTTAGCAAGCTGTTCGTAGTGTCTGCCATGATAGCGAGAGTGAGACAAAACACTCACCAGTGCTACACTCTTCCAAACCCAACTAATGTAACTGTTGTGATGAGAATGATGAAGATGATGAGGAATGGAGTAGCAGTGGCTGTCTCTTGAACGACTCGGAGGCTGACCCAGCGCGGAGAAACTCTTGGCACCGTTTTTCATCAAAGGAAAAAATGAAAAAATGAAAAAAATGTTTGGGAAAGTGGCCTTGAGAACCACAAATAAATGTATGCCTGCACCATAGATATATCTACAGAGCATTTTACTGTATCCCAGAGCGTTACCCGTGTACGACTCCGAAAATGACAAATGGCAATTTTCAAACATCCTACAGCCTCCTTCATTGGAGACGTCGAGTTTTCACGCCTCTCTGCCGAAGAGATCAAGAAGATATCCGTTAAGAGGATCCATGTTGCTTCCACGTTCGACCGATTTCAACAGCCCACATCTGGTGGTCTCCATGATCCAGCCTTGGGACCAGTCCTTGACAAGAGGTGTGTGATGTCTCAAAAGATGCTTCTGTCACTGATACATGCAGCTGCACAACCTGTCATGTGAGCTCTATCCACTGCACAGGCCATCCAGGGCACATAGAGCTACCGGTGCCTTGCTACCACATATCCTTCATTGATCAAACTCTTCGTCTACTTCGCGCAAAGTGCGTCTTTTGTCACCGACTGCGCATGCCCCACGGGCAGATCAACCTTTTCACCTGCAAGCTTCGGCTTTTACAATATGGCCTGGTGGAAGAGCTTACTGAGCTAGAAGACATGCACACCGTGAAAGTCGCAAGTGCTGGTCGGATGGTCAATGGCAATGTCGGCCAAGCCGGAGATGGAATCCAGGAGGCTGGCAGTGATGAAGATGAAGAGGAAGAGGATTTCTTGCAGAGAAGAGAGGAGTTTGTACGAAGGCGAATCACAAAAGCACGAAAGGGCGATCGAGAGGGGAGATATGCTCTTCTCCGAAATCCAGTTGCCGTTGCGGAGAGGAAGGTGGTCATCAAAAACTTCTTACTAGCCATAGCGCGGGTGAAACAATGTCATTTCTGCAAAGGTATCTCTCCTGGTTTCAAGAAGGACCAAAACCTCAACATATTCCGAAAGGCCCTTTCGCCTAAGCAGAAGAACCAAAATGCGCAGAATGGGCTGAAATTGACAAATCCTCTAATTTATAAGCATCAGCTGGAACGATCCTCGAAGAAAGACGAGAGACCTCTTGCAAACGGATATCACCATGAGGACGTCGACATGCGGGATGGCACAGAAAGCGAAATTGATGACTTGCATGGTGCCGAGGAGGAAATTGCCAAAACTGCTGCTATGGAAGACGACGAGGAAGATGGAGATGATGATGACAGACAACGCTTCCTGACGGGAAATGAAGTTCATGCTGCTTTAGACCTGCTGATTAAGAGGGAGCAAAAGGTTTTCAACCTCATATACAACAATCGCCCTGGACCAGAAGCCACCGTTGTCAGTGCAGATATGTTCTTCATAACTCATATCTTGGTACCACCAAACCGGTATCGTCCAGCAACACTCCAGGGCGATGCAATAAACCAAGCACAGCAGAATACTTCACTAGTTAAGATACTCCAAGCAAACGACATTGTCAGACAGATACAGCGGGAGATGCAAAACCCAGAAGAGAACGTCAGCGCAAGGAGGAGAGGGCATGGTGAGCTCATCAGGGCCATGGTCAATCTGCAAAGGGCTGTCAATGGCCTGATTGATCAAGCTCCTCGTCCCGCCAGACGAGAGAATGAGCAAGGGATAAAGCAAACCCTTGAGAAGAAAGAAGGACTTTTTCGTATGAACATGATGGGTAAAAGGGTCAATTTTGCTGCCCGCAGCGTCATCTCGCCCGATCCCAATATTGAGACGAATGAGATCGGAGTGCCGCTGGTCTTCGCCCGGAAGCTCACATACCCACAACCAGTCACCACGCATAACTTTTTCGAAATGAAGCAAGCAGTAATTAATGGTATGGACAAGTATCCAGGAGCTGCTGCCATCGAGAGCGAGAACGGACAAGTCCTGAACTTGAGGTTTAAAAACTTGGAAGAGAGGATAGCTCTTGCAAACCAGCTGCTGTCACCTACTGTGCCTGGGTTGAAGGGTGATAGGAACAAGAAAGTCTATCGTCATCTACAGACTGGTGATGTGGTGGTCATGAACCGGCAACCCACTCTTCACAAACCCTCTATGATGGGCCATCGAGCCAGGGTGTTAAGCAATGAAAAGACCATTCGTATGCATTACGCGAATTGCAATACCTATAATGCAGACTTTGATGGAGACGAAATGAACATGCATTTTCCACAGAGTGAGCTTGCGCGTACAGAAGCTCTGCAGATTGCAGACACGGACCACCAGTATCTTTCTGCTACGGCTGGACAGCCGCTCCGAGGTTTGATTCAAGATCACATCTCCATGGGTGTCCAATTTACAAGTCGTGATACATTCTTTGACAAGGACGATTATCAGCAACTGCTGTACAGCTGCTTACGCCCCGAAAATTATCACACCGTGTATGAGAAGATCCAGATGCTACCACCAGCTATTCTGAAGCCTAAACTACTCTGGACAGGAAAACAAGTAATCTCGACGGTTTTGAAGAACATTACACCCGAAAATCGCAATGGCCTAAATCTCAAGGGGGAATCGTCTACGCCCGGTAATAGGTGGGGGGATAATCCAGAAGAGGCCAAAGTGCTTTTCAAAGACGGGGAGCATCTTCGTGGTATTCTGGACAAAAAGCAACTTGGCCCAACCGCCAATGGTCTAATACATTCGATACATGAACTTTACGGTCATATTACTGCTGGCAAGCTTCTGAGCGTCCTCGGCCGATTGCTGACACGTTTTCTGAACATGCGCGCCTGGTCATGCGGTATGGACGATCTCTATCTTACAACAGAAGGAGATAATATGCGAAAGCGGGAGCTAACTCGAATTGCACGGATCGGTCGGGAGACAGCCCTGAAGTATATTACATTAGAAGACGACAGTCCAGAACCCGAGCTGCTCCAGAGGCTGGAAGAAGTCATTCGCAACGACGAGGAGCAGGCGAATCTTGATAAAGTTTACAATGCCAATACTGCAACGCTTTCATCCGAAATCACAAAAGCCTGCCTGCCATCTGGTTTGTCCAAGCCCTTCCCGTTCAATCAGATGCAAGCAATGACAATCTCTGGAGCAAAAGGCTCGTATGTCAATGCAAACTTAATCTCCTGTAACCTTGGCCAGCAAGTCCTCGAAGGCCGACGTGTCCCGGTAATGGTTAGTGGGAAGACCCTTCCTTCCTTTAAGGCGTTCGACACAGACCCACGCGCGGGAGGCTATGTAGCAGGCCGGTTTCTGACTGGTATCAAGCCTCAGGAATATTATTTCCATGCCATGGCTGGTCGTGAAGGTCTGATTGACACGGCCGTCAAGACATCGAAATCGGGCTACCTTCAACGCTGTATTGTGAAAGGTCTTGAAGGACTACGGACCGAATATGATACTTCTGTGCGTGAGACGTCAAATGGAGCGATCATACAGTTTCTCTATGGCGAAGATGGACTTGACATCACTAAACAAAAGCATCTTACTGCGTTCAGCTTCCTTGCTCGAAACCGCCTTTCCGTGATGGCTAGCACGAACGTTGTTGGTGTCATGAGCAAGCTTCTTCCAACACCGGAAGACGATGAAGCTGCTCGACATCGCAAAATGGCGATGAAGGTTGTCAGGAAGTCGGGCCGAGTGGACGCCATGGATCCAGTGACGGCGGTATTTGCACCAGGAAGCAAGCTCGGAAGTACCTCCGAGTCTTTTCAGCTCGCACTCGACAATTATGTCGCAGAAAATCCTGATAAGCTTATCAGAAAAACGAAAAAAGGCATAGACGGAGATGATGTCATTAGCAAAAAGACCTTTCAGGGCATCATGGACGTGAAGTACATGAAATCGCTTGTTGATCCTGGAGAGACTGTTGGAGTCATTGCCGCCCAATCAGTTGGAGAACCATCGACCCAAATGACATTGAACACTTTCCATTTAGCGGGTCACTCGACGAAGAACGTTACTCTTGGAATACCACGGCTTCGAGAAATCGTAATGACAGCAAGCTCCGATGTCTCCACGCCTGTGATGACTCTGAAACTTATTCCCGAAATCACGAATGAAGAAGGTCTGCGCTTTGCTAAAGGAATTAGCAAGCTTTCGCTAGCAGAGCTCGTCAATGAAGTATCGGTTAAAGAATATTCCGGGTCCACTTCCGATCATGCCAAAGCAAAAATGTATGACATTGAGGTTGAGTTCTTCTCTGCCAAAGAGTACACTGAAGAATACAATATCAAGGTAGAGGATGTCTCCAATTGCTTGAAAGACAAATTTTTCCCACGATTGAGCAAAACGATCAAAGACGAATTCAGGAAGAAGACCAGAGAAGCTTCTCATGCAGAAAGCACTGCTGCAGTTCCATCCATAGGCCAGAGCGTTGGCCGGATAGAAGAGGCTCATTCTGCACCAACAGACGTGGAAAATGAAGGGGGTGGAGATGGCGAAGCTCTGGATGATGACATCGACCCTGATGACGCGAAGCAATCCCGTGGCCGTCAGAATGAAGAGTACGACGATCCGGATGACGATGAGAAAGCCATTGCCGAAAGCGATGCTGAGGTAAGCAGTGATGACGATGCTGGAAAACTTCCGGAAAGACAGCGCTCAAAAGTCCCGCAGAGGACTGACGGTGATGTTCATGCATCTGATACGACCGACTCGGACAATGAAGACGACGGGACTCATGCTGAAATAGTCTTGGAACAGAACTCACATCTGGTCAAGTACAAGTTCTCAAGAGGGAAAGGCGAACGCTGTCGTTTCACGCTCGCATACGACGTCTCCACTCCGAAACTTCTCCTCCTACCCATTGTCGAAAAGTGCCTTCGTGCCGCCGTCATCCAGCACATTCCCGGCCTGGGTTCATGTACCTTTGCAGAAGAAAAGGTCAAGGATCCTAGGACCAAGGAAATGGTAGAAGAAAAGTACGTTATTGCCGAGGGAGTCAATCTGATCGCTGCAGGTGATTTCCAAGACATCATTCATCCTCACAGTGTCTACACCAACAGTATCCATCACATGTTGAAATTCTACGGTGTAGAAGCTGCTCGCAATACCATCATTCGCGAGATTGACGGCGTGTTCAAGGGTCACACAATCACGGTAGACAATCGCCATCTAAATCTAATCGCAGATGCCATGACGCATGGTGGTGACTATCAGGCGTTTTCAAGGCACGGTCTAGTCAAAAATAGTGGCAGTGTGCTCGCGAAAATGAGCTTTGAGACTGTTTTTGGGTTCCTGAAAGAGGCAGTGTTGGATGGTGACGCGGATGCACTGACGGGACCCAGCGCGAAGATCGTGGTGGGGAAGCGAGGATCGATTGGGACGGGCTCGTTTGACGTTGTTGCCAAGGTTGGTTGAAAGGTGGCTTCATAGGTGGTGGAAGTTGTTCAATTCGCTACTGATGGTGATCGTGGTTGTACATATTGGTTGAGTCTAGGGATGCACATCAGACTTCGGAATCATGCCATCATGGTACACAATTCTATGTGCTGGTGGGCGTGTGATGATTCTCAAAGTCTGGTATGATCAGGTAGCAATGTAGGCTGACGTCTAGCGGCCTGTCGCTCACAGATGGGATCAGTGATATTCGCATGCTAGATGGTTCGAATGTTTGCTATCTAGTAACAAGGTGAGGATATTGACGCCAGAGATCTTTGGATCCGAAGTTGGTGAGAGTACGCAGGTCAAAGGCAACGTCAATGGCGATGGGCTGGCAGCCCTGGACTCGGGCCGCCAGATTCTGAACGGCATGTCACCCAACATTCAACGAGGCGTTGCGGAAGGCATCCACGGCTGGACCGAGCGTGTTCGCTCCAGCGAAGACACCCTCCCTGGCGTGGAAAGGCAATAACTGAGATAGGGGAGACCAAGGTCAACCGATGCATTTGAGGTGTCTTACTGTGTTCCAGAAGTTGCAGCTCCACAGCAACAGCAGGCTCAGATTACGCCAGCGGTAGCAGTAGTATACATGACGAATGTATCAATCGTCGTCATCATTACGTACTTCCGATAAATACGAACTTGCAATCAGCACGTCCTTGCTCAGCCCCCTGGCCGTTGAAACTGCTAGATTACGAACAGTGAAGTGTCTCCCAACCGAGTATGGGAGACACTCTTCGGGCTTGGCCGAACGAGAAGAAGAGTGGAAGCATCCAACTCTGATGAGCAGGTTGAGATTGTGGAGAAGATACGAAGTAAGATATCGATTGTACTTTGAAAAAAGAGCAGTTGGTAGGGGTCATCGCCGTACAAAGCTCGCTGACGGTTTCTATTGTTCGAACAATACCAGCTCTCCATACTTAATTTAACACTAATATCTCCAAGTTGCGATTGCGAGGTTGAATAACTTCCCGCGTCTCTTGTATGCCGGTAATTTCAACATATGAATCGAGGTCTCTGTAGCTGGACCTCCTCGGCAAGCTTGTTGACTTTGTTTCCCGGGAGTTTTGATTCGTGTCGGTGGTTGTGTTCGGTTTTCTAGCTCGTATCTCTTCTTTGAGTTTCTTGGCGTCATCCATAGCCCCTTGTAGGCACTTGATTCTAGCTCTGCGTCTTGGCCGAGAATTCCGTCCTCGTCACTCGGCAAAAGATGATCGTCCAGCGGATGTTGTTCAGTGTTCTTGCTCAGTCGAATCAGTCCAGTCAGAATGTCGCAACGCGGGCGTGCGAACATCTAGGAATGGTAATAATTGCCGTCACTGAGGATGCACGAGGTGTACGCAATCTTCCCGTTCAATGAAGTGAAAGTATCTGTCGGGATCTGTCAACATTGCAGCCATACACTCATCACCTTTTATTCACCAAAAGTTACAGGCAGTCTTATAGCACCCTCGTTCTCGGTTCTCCAGTATGCAATCTAGATCCTAGGATGTAGGATCGTAGGTTGCACTGCAGGACCATGGCTGACATGGAAGACCTCGTCTTAGCTCAGCATAACCGGAAGAACGAACAACAGCTCCATTGCATGGAGACTATTCAATGTATAGGGGTACATGGAGTTGTTTTTGGACTCCTCAACAATCCATCTCGAGGCGAGCTCCAGGTTGATCCCCCCTTCTGAGTCGTGACATGGGTGACATACGCCCCTGGTCCGATGCCGCTTTTAGAATTCAAGAGTCCTCCTCCTGAATTTGATCCAAGGCCCATTGCGCGCACTGGTGATATGGTCGTATAATTGGTACTCATCTGGCCGATTTTTTCCGTGTCTGCCATTCCTACTGCCGCCACCGATGTCTTTCATGCTTTCAACAACGTCGAAATCCAGCATCCAGCAAACGTACGCCGTCGCTAAGGTACCTTCAACCAGTGCCAGAGCCTTCCCTAGGCATGCGCTTGGGCCAATGGAGAACGGCACGAGCGCATCGTTCACGTTGACCCCATATGGATTCTCATCTTCTAGCCATCATGCAGGGAGGAATTCGAACGGATGAGGGAAATACCGTTCATTGTGCTGGATGCTGTAGATCCCGGTTCCGATATTGTTGCCTTCGGGAATGTAATGGCCATACACAATAGCGCCGCCTGCTGAGATTTCCCGAAACGGTGCAGAGGCGACTGGTGGAGCCATGCGCAAACATTCGGATATGCAGGCTGGTAGGTAGCGGCATGAATTCAATTCGCCCCGAGCCGAACTTCTTCTCGTGTTGCGAAGCGCGTGCGGACTTCTTCTACCAGTCTGGCTTTCTTTTCTGGGTGTCTTGCCATATAGAAGAACATGGACGCTAGAAGAGTCGAGGAGGTATCAGAGCCTACGCATCTATCAGCTTAGAAGAGAGGTATGCTAGAGTGTAAAATGGAATACCAGCAATAATCATCAGGATGCTTTCAGCTACGATTTCGTCTCGACTTAATTTGTTGCCTGTGGTAGGGTCTGAGGCATCCAGCAAGCCGGAGAAGACATCTTTCCTGGGCCAACGAGTCATTCGATCCGTCACCAAGTTGTGCACAAATCGCAAAAACTCCTTTCTCCCATGCACCGAGTCTTTGAATAGGATCTTGTCAAGACGGCGCCATACAATGATTGGCCACTGCACTATTACACTGATGCGCTTGTTCGACCTAGAGAGGGCTTCCGGGATATGACGGTACCACTGACTGCGAAGTAGGTCGAAACTTTCGCTGAAGACGGTAGTTGTCATGAGGTCGAAGAACAAATTATCGCCTAGATTCAGGTAAGCTCATCGTGTGAAAAGGAAGGCAAGGACTTGAATCACGACTAACACCATGTAGACATGTCGAACGGTTCCGAACAGGGAAATTGGGTTTCCGGCGTCGTTGACTCACTCTTCTCGGAAGGCTTAGGACACAGAGCGCTGCAGCTGAATTGATTAATCGCACTTTTCTCGCTGGACTTAGGACACAAAGCGTCGCAGAATCGATCAACGAGCTTTATAACCTCTGGTTCATATAAACGAATGGCTGATTTCGAGAACTTCTGGCTCAGAATGCGCTTTTTCCAGGCGTGTTCTTTCTTGCTACGCAGAGTAAAGGTGCTCGGAGTGTTGTGTACTATCGCAAGATACGGAACGCTTTTCTGCATGTTTTTGTTATGGCCATATATCTCTAAGGGAATTGTTAGTCGAAATTGTTGAAGGAGCGTCAGACATGATGCCAACCTTTGCAAGCTTGTATTGTATCGAATAGCAAATAGTTGGGTTGATACTGAACATACGGGCATATACCAACATTGTCAGGCTTGTGCGGGCTCGGCAGGGATCCAGGAGCAATGCAAACCATATTTCTGGTGACACTCCCATATATCGTAATGTAAGTTTCCGCGCCATACATGGTACGCTGCCCGAGATCCTGAAAGTTTGGCCTATAATGGGCCGGGGTATTTGGCAAGAGAGTGAAAGTAGAGTTGATAAATGACATATGCAATGATCTGCCATAGTCAGCTTTCCTCAACGCTCTGGCAGGTTATCGAAACATTCTTCTGGGCTGCATCTTACCGGCGCTGACAGAAGCAACAATGGAACAGAGATGAACAACGGCGGAATTACACCGACGAGGACTTGTAAGACTTTGAAGACTTTGGGAGCGTATAAGTCCCACAGTCTCACCACAGTAGATAGGATCCTGTCCCAGTCAGGAGAATGCACAGGGGGTAATGCTTCATAAGTCTTTGAAATGGCATCGTGAAGAGGCAGCAACTGTTGATCTAATGAGGTATTCCAGAAGGAAACAGCCAGGCTGGAAGCTTCGTGAGCCTTAGCTACCATACTCTGGATAACAGATGAGGTCGGGACGATGTCGTGCGCAACAGGCCAGGGAGAAGACTGAGAAAAAAGCTCTCGCAAACAAAATGCCTTGAGCTTTCAAGAAGAAGAAAAAAGAAAGCCCCATGGAAAGTAAAGCCTTTAAGCCGGGCAGAATACTGACCCGCCAACTCGTTCTCGCTGTCACTGACGATGCTTGAGCTCCACGGCCCTGACGACCGGACCCAAAGTGATAGTTCTATGGGCTCCCGAGGCACTACGGGTGGCGAGCACATTTCTGAATCACCAGGACTAACGTCCCAAACTGTCATATGCACTACACCTTCTTCTTTAGAAACACCCTCCTTTTTAGGGACATCCCTCCTTCTCTTTTAGAGCATCCTTCTCCTTAGAGACACCCTCTTCTCTAGAGGAACCCTCCCTCCCCTCTCAGAACATTTTCCTCTTTAGGGGCACCCTCTTTTTAAAGGACATCCTACTTTTTAGAAATATCCTCCTCTTCTTTTAGATTGCGATCACTAAAATCAACCAATCAAGTCTTCATAAGCGATTGTATGCAATATAATATAAAGCTGGGATAAAATGATCAGCAAAGACTGTAGGGAATTCAAAAGCTTTTTTGGTTTTCAAACATTTGAATTGGCCTTGAGCCCTTAGCAGTCCGCCGTAATAGAAATCAGTGGCTTGAAAAATTTGGTATGAAAGGAGATATCGGCCCTTCAAGTCGTGCATATGGGGTGGTAGTGCATATGACAGTTGGGTATGTTAAATAGTCCGAACAGAAAAGCCTTGAGCTCATGACAAGCTAATCGTACAATCGCTGATTAATCCCTCATTCTACAATCCTGCATTCCCTTTCCCGACCCTTGAAAGATAATTCCCCGATACTGCATTTCCAGAGATCCACATACGCACGGAAGACTATGGAGCAGGAAATCAGTAGTAGTCATGGTGGTAGTATCCTGCATATGACTCCAAGGTATTTGTCTTCCTGCGAATGGTGCTCATCGTATGACGGCTTTGCCAGTCTTGCGGGAGCCAACCAAGGAGCAGAGTGCAGCTTCCCTGGAACAATAGCGCAGGGACATTTCTGATGTTTCAATGATACACCAGTAGTCTTCCAATCGTATCGTTGCATTGGGATGGTTTGCTACCATGGCGGGGTCAGCTGCCGTGGCTTGTTTGATCTACACTTAATTAGTTAGTTATGTGTACTACGTAATACAGCAGCATGCTAGTGCATAAAACATCTCGATTAAAAGTCTCCTTCATGTACGGAGTACTAAGTACATCTTGCATCTCATGGATGCATAATTTCTGAGCTACACACGCACCATCTTCTGGGTATTTCTGGACAGTACTGTAATCCAGACTCCCGCACCAACCCTGGATATGGACTCTCTACAGTGTACTGATCTCGACAGCCTCATCGTATAGATGTTATTAATGTTCTTGATGCCCAGATCTTCACAGGTCTTCAATATAATTCACTTAATCTTGATGCCAGACAACAGTGAAGTTATTAGAGAGCTGTACGCTACTGTTAGCGATGGTGGATTTCAATGATGCTGGACAATGACCGCGGCCTTCGGAGGACGAATGAAATAGCTTATGTCTGACACAAGCCCCAGGGACTTTCGATCTAGGAAGTTGCTGTAAAGCGAGCAGTTTTATGTATAGTAGAGGTTACTGCACAACTTTGTATTCAAACTTCTGTTCCATCTCACGTGAGACCGGAACTTGTGAAGAGAGTCTATCTGTCCTAAAATAGCTAGCATTTAAAATCCACAAGTAAGAGACCGCCTGCCAAGATGTGCACTTTTAACTACTTTATCATGTCATTTGACTTCACCTCTACTGAAGCACTGCAGTGGGGCATTGGATGACCCTTGGCGCCCCGGTGATTTCGAAGCCGTGCTCTACATACTTAGCAGGAAGAGACACCCTTAAAAAAATGCTAAGAGCGCCATCAAAGTACGCTTAGATTAAGCCTAACTGTGATATTACTTAGAGAATAGAAAGATATGCAGCTTAGTCGTTCATAATCTAATAAAATCTTACTATTTAAAATATTTTACTAAAAATATGGTTATAGTATGATTAAAATATGCTTCTTTTATCATATTAGTATTATGGTCATTTGACGGAATGACTGTCATTTCTACTAATGGCACTTAGCGCAAATCTTTAGCTACCCCTTCTCCTGGTAAGTAGTAGGATAGTGGTTGCTTAGGACATATTAGTGACATCTCTTGCCTTAGTAGAATGCTTGGGAGGACACTACAATTGAAGGACGATGTCATTCTTGGCGCGCTGGGTCTTAGCGGATTTTAGCACCAGTACTCCGTAGTTCACCACTAAAGTGCCCCTGCCAGTAGATGGCCCGGGGGTGATATTTTGCGCACCTTGGCCGCTGCGGTCACCGGACAGTATGAATGTGCAATGTTTAATGTATCCCCTCCGTCCCTGAACAGGGGTGTAGTTTGTGCCTATTAGCGCTGTCGATCATTATGAGGGGTCCAAAAACGTCAACAAACGTCTATTTTCGGCGAATTGAGACTGTTCTATCTAGCTATTGGCCTCAATTGAGCTGTGATACTGTTGCCAGCAGTCTCCTTTGATACAGAGCCAAATCTGGCATTTACTGCATCTTTGATGAGTGAAGGAGCCTCTTAAAATACCCTTGTTGGCGCCATTAGTAGTTAATTCTGTAATGTCGGTTCCAAATTTGCGTTTATTTGACTGTTTACACAAACAGCCTGATGAATAATGCTTTCTCTATTTGTACTAGCCACGCTATTTAAGTTATATAGATTTATAGTGGCACTAAATACTATTATAAGTTAAGAATAAAATTATTCTTTCTTCTTCTCTTTTTGCTTCTTCTTTTTCAGATTATTTAAATATAATAATTAATTATATAAGGCACTTATAAAGATCTTATAACTATTATAATTCTGCATATTATTACTTTATTTCTATAATAAATAAGCATTAATATAAGCAATATTAATAAAGAAGAAAAACAAGAGCTATTATATTTAATAGTTCTGTTTTCTATAACATATAAAGCTTATATATAATTAATTAGCTTAATCTATGCCCTTTATATAATAATTATAGTTATTAATAGCTGTTAAAATAAAGAGCTTTTTGAATAGTTAATTATTAAAAATAAGTAATAGAATTCGTTAATTTTTAGACGTTATTTTTAGGTATCTTTATATATATTAAACCTTATTGTCAGGAGAGCTATGGTTGGGCCTAATCTAGAATGGTTTCGACTTCCCATTCTGTTTTATCGGATATGTCATTACCCACTATGGGTCTCAGGGGAACGTCTGTATAGCATGGTCTTAACAGGGCAACGTGGAAAATGGGGAATATTCTTAGGGACGAGGGCAGGGCTAATTTACAGGCTGTGGATCCTATGGTTCGTTTAATCTTAAATGGGCTAATCCATTTGTCATCGAGTTTCTTGCATGGTCGTTGTGTACGGATGTTTCTGGCGTTCAGCCATACTTTATCTCCTTTATAGTATACTAGGGCAGGGTGTTATCTCTAATTTCTGTTTGCTGTATCTGTGGTTTTTGCTTAGCTCTAAACTAGTTCTGCGTAACAATAGTCTAAGAGTTCTTTTATAAATATTAAGATATCTTCTGTATAAAGGTTAAGAAAGGTCTTAGCTTAATTAAAGCTTATCCTGAAATTAAAGCCTTTGTTAGCAAAGAACAGAGACATGCTTATAGATTCTGACTTATAATTATTTATAATAAATTTGGCTAATATAATCTATTTAGCCTAGTCATCCTGTATATAGTTAATATAGCTTTGTAGGTAAGTCTTTATTGCTTAATTAACTTGTTCTAACTATCTGTCTATTTTTAAGTAATGCGTAGTAAATAGTTTTGCTTTAATACCTAGCCTTTTATATAGGCTATTCTAGAATTCACTAACAAACTATAGACCTTTATTAGATATTATTGACTTAGAGAGGCTATAGCTACGAATAACAAAGTAAATAAACATCCTGACTAGATGTTCTATTTTCATGCTGTGGCAGGGCGCTAGATGTCTCTCCTTAATTAATTAGTTCGTCAAGACCCAAATGCTTGTGGCGCTAGGGAAAATGCTGTTGAATTTAGGGAGGTCTGTGACAAAATCTATAGTCAGGTGTTGCCACCGTTTCTTGGGCGGCTCTGGTAGGCGTAGAAGAGACGGTACGAAGTGCTCCGTGGCTTTGCTGAGTCTATCATCTTTGGCTAATAGAATTGTCGTTACAGGATCTCGTAGGTCTTTGCGGGGCCTAAGTGACTAGTCATTGGCTGTTTGTGGCATTCATTAATGCAGCAGAGTCTTAATTCTTCGTTTTCAGGAATTTATAGGCGTTGTTGGTAGTATAGTTTGTTATTCTCTACTGAACAGTCAGCTAACGTGACTATAAGAGACCTTCTGACCCCGGACAGGACTTGTTGGCGAGTTACTCGACAAGGATCTTCTCGGGCAAGATTCTGGTATGCGGCAGTGATATCTTCTTCTAGGATGGTTCGGGGCTGTGGGTTTGTTATA